GCACAGTGCTTGTGTAGCGTGTGTGGAGCAGCACAGTGCTTGTGTAGCGTGTGTGGAGCACACTAGAGCTCAGGGTGGCCTTGGACTTGTGATCCTTTTGCCTCAACCTCCTCGGTAGCTGGGATCACAGGTCTGTGCTGCCGGGCTCAGAAAGATCTTTGATCTTTTTATTTATCTTCTACAGTGAGGGACTCTTACATGGAAGGGATCCCCTATGACATTAACATTCTTTTCTGTGCACTCAAAATATATATACATAACCGGGACTGTCTACATTAATAATAGATAGGACACTCAGTACCTATAGATGCTTTGCTAAAAGTGAATGAAACTATATTTCCATTTATATCTGTGTATTCTAAGCAGGGAATACACAATTCATCTGTAATTCTGAAGGCGAAGGGCATTTGTGATCCTGTCCAACAGCAGACTGATCAGTACATGGGTCCAGCCTCCGCTGTTTTTGGTAACTGAATTTGTACTGTTTTCATTTTATTTTTTTATGCTGGATTGAACCTAGGGCCTCATGCAAGCTAAGTAAGTACTCCACCACTGAGCTATATGGTTTTCCTTTGCTTTCTTTCTCTTCTTTAAAGCGGGTTTACTGTTTTTTTGCAGATTTGGTCCACGGAGTTAGGACTTCCCGTCACAGGCTATGAACCACAGTGCACACCGATCTCCTTCTGCCCTCTTAAGTATCCACAGAAGACAGTGTGTCTCTTAACGCTTTGGATTAAGAGAACCCGCGCATACACAATAAGACATGAGGAAGAGTGTACTCACAGGATTAATGTCCACAAATGTCTCGTGTTCCTCCTTGTTTGGGCGCATGCCTTTTATGGCAGAAACGAACTTCTCATCAGCTTGGTAAAAGTGTGGGAAAGACATGATTATGGGTGCACCTGCGTGGTAAGGGACAGAGAAATGAATGGTGTTGTTTCTTAAATCTAAGGGGCATATACAGCTCCTGACCACAAAGTTGGCTCCTAAAGAAAAAAGAAAAGCCGTACCCAAGTGAGCTTGAGCAGGGTCACTGCCCCTCTGTGACTCCAGGTTCAGTATTTATACTGCATGTTCTACTACCTGATAAATCCCGCATTCTCTCACTGATATCTTATTCCGAAGTCCTGGTCACATTTATACTTAAACAAACAGTTGCTGAACCGATACTTTTTAATCCATTGTCTGTGTTAAATAATGCTCTGTGACACTCTATAAAACTAAAGCCCTGTCAAGAGATGGTGACGCACACCTTTAATCCCAGCACTCAGGAGGCAGAAGCAGGAGAATCTTTGTCAGTTCGAGGCCAGCCTGGTCTACAAGACCTAGTTCCAGGACAGGCTCCAAAGCTTCAGAGAAACCCTGTCTCAAAAAACAAACAAACAACCCACCAAAACCAAGAAAACAACAACAAAAAACAAAACAAAAAACCACTGAAGCCCTTATCCTCATTTTTACATTTGAAGAAGCTGAGGTTCCCAAACATTGCTGAAATTTCCCAGGGTGCATAGCTGCAGAAGTAGTGTTCTGGATGGATGAGAAGGTCCCAGTTCAGAGCACTGCTTGGTTGACAATGACTTGGTTTGTGCTGCTGTTGTTTCGTTTGGGGTTTTGCGGTTTGTTTGTGACAGGGTCTTATTCTGTAGCTCAGGCTGGCGTGGAACTCACTCCATAGACCAGACTGGCTCAGAACTCTCAGAATTGCCCCTGCTTCTGTTTTCTAAGTACTAGGATTGATTACAGAAGTACGCATGCCTGACTTTGAAGGAAAAAAAAAAAAAACTGTTTTACACCAGGGAACCTTGTTCTCCTGGATAGCATGATGTAAGAAGAGTTTAAGAGTCTCCCTGTGGTTCGTGGTGGCACATGCCTGTAAGTCCAGCACTCAGCAGAAGGATGAGCAGTTCAAGGCCAGCCGTGGTCACAATGAATAAGGGCAACTTGGGTTAAATGAGAACCTGGCTCAAAGAGGAAAAAATTTAAAAAGGTTGTGTGGCTCTTACGGAAGCAAGGCCACTCCTCCTTGTTCTGTGAACTGCTGTGCTTCCTTACTTAGAAGACACACTGCAGAGTTCCAGTCCCAAGGGGAGTTAAGTCCAGACAGGAGCACTGGGAACCAATCCATGCACAGTGCCGACACCACTTAGAGATCTGCACACTGCCCAAGTTTGGTGTGTGAAGGAAAACTGTCTACTGATGACAAAACCTCCAGTCCACAGTTGGGGGTTCCGGAAAGTGGAGAGGACAACGCTGTGCTAAGAGGTTTGAGTGCTGTAAAACCCAGTCTTTCCTGGACTCTCGCAGTAACGCCTTTAAGAAGAACACAGCAAGAAAAGTACGCCGTGATGTGAGGAGGACATCAAGCCCAGGAGCTCTCACCGAGCCTCACAGCGGGGGAGATCTGAAGGAGGAATGTGTCCCTACTCACTGCTAGCGCACTGGGCTCCTTTGCACAGTGGTCACCGAATGCCTAGATGTCATCTCATGGGAACCATCCACAGAACTTGTTAGTACAGAAAGCACAGATTATAGCATCCTCAGATGTATATCTTAATATCTCTCCAGAGAACTCTGATGCAAGGTTTGTGGGCGGCTGTGGAATGGACAAGGAGGGGCCTGTTGCCCTCAGACTCGTCCCAAAGGAGATTTTAAGGCCAATTAGACAAGAGAGCCAAGTTAGTGCACCCCTTTATTTTTAAAAAAGGAGTACTGCAGTTCAGGAGAGAGGGTTCCTATGCAGGCAGCTTCTCCAAAGGAGCTTTAAAGAGGGCCAGGCATGGTAGTCCTAGCTTTGGGGAGGCTGAGGCAGGAGGATATGTGAGTTTAAGGATATCTTGGGCTCCACAGTAAGTTTGAGGCCAGCCTCCAGGACTACATGGTAAAAACTTGTCTCAAAGCGACAAAGACTATCATCCTACATTCTTTAAAGAGGAATTCTATTCTAAATAGTAATCTAGCACAAATATTAGAAATGCTAGTGACACTGGTCTATATAGGTGAGTTACAAGACAGCCAGAACTTCACAGTGAGACTCCAGCCCGAAAAAAGAAGCAAACGAAACAGAAAAAGAACTACTAGCAAAGAAGTGCTTAGAGAAGTTTCATAAAAGCACATCCCTTCTCTTTGCTCTGTTCCCATGGTGATAAGACGAAGATACTAAGCTATGGACATCATCCCGGCACCCAAGAGGCTGTGACAGAAAGATGGAGCATGATGCCAGCCTGAGCTACACAACAGGACCCTGCCTCAAAGCAAGCAAAACCAAGAGCAAAAACCAGAAGAAAAAAAAAAAAAAGAGGACACTGCACACCTGTCAGGTAAGGCTCCGTGGGTAATTCTGCTGCGACTTCTCACTGTTGAAATTAACCTCTGGGGCTGGAGAAATGGCTCAGCAGTTAAGAGTACTGCCTGCTCTTCCTGAGGTCTAGGGTTCGATTCTCAACACCTACATGGCAGCTCATATCTGCCTGTGACTCCAGTTCTAGGGGATCTGACACCTTCACACAGGCATGCATGAAGGCAAAATCACCAATGCATATAAAATTATATACAAATGCAATATATGTATATATTATAGTATGTATTATATATAAATAATCTTCAAGGCAAAAAGACACCTTTTGTCAGCTGCAGCACTGATGATTCTCTCATTCTTGGGAAGGGACAGAGAGCCGAGGCATCAGGAAACCAAGAGGGAGAACAAAAGGTTTAAAAGGTGACACACAAGCCTGAACACCCGAGGGAGCTCCTGGGAGCCCACATAAAGGTGCAAAGGAGAGCCGACGCCACTGAGTATCCTCTGAAGCCACGTGTGTGCCGTGGCCTGCATGCTCACCACCAATAATACACACCAATGCTCACACACCAATAACAATACATCCAAACGAAAAAAAAAAAAAGAAACTCATGATAAGAGTTTAAAACTAAATCTGCTTCAAAATCATTGGGGATCGTAGCCAAGGCATGTGCTACCAAAACTAGGAATTTAAATTGTTTGATAGGTATCATCATTGTCAGGGCTGTTATCATTCACACGGAGGGGCGGGGGCTATGGAGCCCAGGCTGGCCGTGAGCTCACTGCCTTCCTGCTTCAGGCACCTGGTGCTGGGATTGAAGGCACATGCCAAAATATTATCCTTGAAAGGCTGGGCTCGCACTGTATCTCAGGTTGGTGACAAGTTCTTTGTTGAACACCCCAAGTCTGTCTGCATCCTAGACACCTTAACCACGACCTCTCTAGAACTTCTTACCGTTCTTGCAGACGCTGACATTCAACACTCCTGAGTCCATGCAGTTTCCTTCAGGTATACAGAAGCCAGCGTTTTCGGAGGTATTGGCTAGAATTTCTGCAGGCACCTTATAGCGAAAAGCAGGCAGTCCCTCCACACTCTCAAAACCGCTGAAAGTTATATAGACCGACCTGGTAGGAGGGACGAATACAAAGTCAATGTAGGAATGCAGCTTACCGGAAGAATGTTTGCCTAGCACCTGTGAAACCCTGGGTTCAAATCCCAGCACCGAACAAACAGGACAAACAGGGCGTGGTGGTAGAAGCACTGGGGGGGGGGGGGGGGGAGGATGAGAAGGTCAAGGTCATCAGAGGCTGCAGCAGGCCTCTGGCAGGTGTGAAGCCAGCCTGAGTCCCTGATTCCAATAAATAAGTAAATACATATATAAATAAATAAGAAATACAGAAATACAGAAATACAGAAATACAGAAAGAAAGAAAGAAAGAAAGAAAGAAAGAGATGGGGGGAAAGGGAGGGAGGGAGGAAGGGAGGGAGGGAGGGAGGGGAAAAAAGAGTGAGGAAGGGGGTGCGAAAAGAAGGAAAGAGAGGGGAAGAGAGGGGAAGGGAGGGGAGGGACAGAGGGAAGGGAGGTAGAATGGTCAGATAATGTGCCCCGGGCTACACAGCTGCTAAAGTAATAGTGTTAAGGCCAGATCAACAGTTCCCTTGTGGAGCCCATGCTATGAACCATTACACAGCATTCTCTCTCAGTTCCTGTGCCGGATGCGTGTCTGTTTAGAGTTCCTACCTGCAGAAGTCAGAGGGGAACACGTAGAGGACTTCATCCTTGGTGATGAGAGGGTGGAACGAATCTCCATCCGTCCCGTTAATCATGTTGCACTCGTGTGTGGTCCACCAGTCCAGAGACCTGCAGTCGATAAGCGCAACAGAGAGCAGAGATGATCGAGTCGGACTGTGGGGTCTCTCAATGGGCAGGACCTTGCCAGGGCTAAGTGGGACTGGCTACCTCGGCATCTTACCCACAAGTAGGCCCCAAACCAAAATTACATTTGATAAAGATAATAGCCACAAATTCCTGTTTTCTTCCTCAAAAAAAAAATGCATCTCTCATAGGTGTTTAGAAATACTGATTTAGGGACCAGCAAGATGGCTGCTCAGTGCATGAAGACCCTGTCTGTAGGACTCACAACCAGAGGTCAATCTCTGGACCTATGTAAAGGTGGAGGAGAAAAACCAAGGCCACAAAGCTGTCCTTTGACCTCTGTGTGCACACTGGGGCACACTTGCTCCCCATCCCACATCATATACAAACACAACAACAATAATAGAACTGCTGGTTCACGTAAAGCGGTAACCCAAGTAGGCATTAATAGCCTTGCTCATAGCTTGGCCCGGGACAGATGGACTTTGCACAGATGTATGCCATTCTTTAATATGCATGGAGACTATTAACTACTCTCTCAATAGGTCTTGCTTCCAAAAACAACAGACTTAGGACAAGAAGAAATGCTAATTCTGAGTTGGCCTCACACACCGAAAGTACAATTGAGATAGCAAGTTTGACTAATGGTACACGCGGTGCCCTAAACGCTTACGATTCCTCCAGGTCATGAGAGGGGAACCCTGACATAAGACTAGTGACCTTAGATTAGACCACAGGGACTGACTCGGCCCTTCCATCACGTGTGTGCCGTTAAAGTGAGAAGACGGCCTTGTAAGGAACCACAACCATGCCCTCATCAGAGCTGCAGGGATGTTGGTCTTAGGCTGCTCAGCACGCAGAATTGTGAAGAGTAAATTACTGCATTTTATAAGTCTATATAAACTTATATAGACTATATAGACCACTATATAAAACGTGGTCTATGATGATTTGTTATAGCAGTCAGAATGGACTAAAACAGTCCAAATGCAAAAGGAAGGAGCGGGCAAAACATAAATAGCAATTCTCCCAATTTAGGTCTGGATGCTATTCTCAGTTCCTGCCTTGAGAGTGTCTGCAAAGTGAAAACAGGAAATAAAGGATGATAAAATGGGGAAGGAGAATCTTCAGACTGCCCGTAGCACATTCAAAACAAATGAACATCTTCCTAGACAAAAAGCTGGCAAGCATACAGTGTTAAGTTGAGCTAAAATGATACTGTTCTGCACGCTGGAAGCCAGGAGGAAGAAGACTCAGAAATGCCTCATAGCAGAACCTGATCTAAGCTGTCTCTGGATTTCTCCCATGTCATGGTGGGAGGCACATCTTGTACACTGGTTCCAGACTACATGGAGGCCAACATAAGGAGAGATGAGGCAATAGACAGACCGACAGACAGACAGACAGACAGACAGACAGACACACACACACACACACACACACACACCAGACTAGCTTCCCAACTGAAACAATTGTGCAAATCATTTTTCAATTAAAACTTAAAGGACAGAAAACCAAGTCACAAGGAAATGAAGTCAGGCTAATTCCATAAACCTGTGGACAATATCACATGTGAAACAGTAACCGTCTTAAAAGTAACGGGGGTTGGGGTAGGAGAGATGGCTCAGGGTTTAAGACGCTGCTTTTTAGAGGATCTGGGTTAGGGTCCCAGTATCACATCCAAATGGTGGCTCACAACCCTCTGCACCTTCAGTTCCAGGGAATCTAATACCCTTGGGCCTCGTGGGCATCAGAAACACACACGGTGCACAGGCTCACATGCAGACAAAGCAGTCATACATACAAAATAAAATAAATGTTTTTTTCCATTAAAAAGCAATGGAGCTAGTGACAGCTTAGTTCAGGCTTTGCTGTGAGGCTATTTATGAGTCTTCCTACCCCCAGTCACCAGCTTTGGACAACTCCGAAACCCACATAATGGTAGATGTTGCTTTCTTTGGCCTCTTTTGATGAGCAGGGAATCTCTGCTCCTTGGACCGTGGTTCAAGCCCCTGATGGAGCACACTCTACCCTTATAGAGATCCCGTGACTGATACGTGTGAGGCTCTGATTTCCATTACCAACATCACACAAAAAGGAAGTAAGTGGGCGACAATATTAAAAGAAAAAAATGAAACAAAATCAAGAAGATTGAAAAAATAGAAAACCTGGATAAAAAATATGTTTTGGAAAAAAATCAACAGGGGTAAACTCTAAACTGTAGCTGAAGAGAGAATTCATTAATTAGAAGATAGTTCTAGGGAATTTCCATAAATATAAGATCAGAAAATGAAAAGTTTAATAAGTAAGACACAGAGACTGAATTAAGAGGACTTCAGAGTCCAGGAGGTAGGGAAAGGGGATTGAAGGCGTCAAACATTAGTCAATACTTTAGTAACTCTGGACTCTACTTGGCTGGGCTGCACACTTTTCTCCACACAATCACCAAGCAACCTGTTGGCCATCTAGGACCCAGACTTGCATCAGGCTTCACTTAAGCAACAGGAATAAGTTACTTCAAAAACAGCCCATTAGGCCGGGCGGTGGTGGCGCATGCCTTTAATCCCAGCACTCGGGAGGCAGAGGCAGGCGGATCTTTGTGAGTTCAAAGCCAGCCTGGTCTAGAAGAGCTAGTTCCAGGACAGGCTCCAAAGCCACAGAGAAACTGTCTCAAAAAAAAAAAAAACCCAGCCCATTAATAATACCTTGTTTCCATTCCAAAGAACTATGGACAGTGTGTTGATCTGGTCCTAAGTGCAAGTTTAGGGAGAATTTCCTAATTCTTATCTTATGCTGAGGTAGAGTTGGGCTTACATATAATCACAAACAGACACATTATGGGATGGGACATGAGAGAAGAAAAGGTCATAAAATAATCTGTCAAAAAAAACAAACAAACCCAAAACACATACTATGATCTTTAGAAATCATACTACTTCTTGAACCAAAAAGAGTCCCAAACAAGAATCTGGGCTCTTGAGTGCCTTTATTCATGTGGCCTGGGTTTCTCAACATCATTTCATTCTAATCTGTACTAGCATTTTGCTTTGAATAAAATCCCCTTGTTGCTTTGCAAATGCACATGTGCTTATTTCAATGCTTTGAATAAGAACATGGATTCATTTGGCCTAAACCCCAAGCATCTGTAGCAAGATGCTGGCACGTACCAACCAGTCAGGTGAATAGATAATCCCACCTGTAGCAAGACTTGGGTATAGGCCAGTCAAGTGAATAGATAATTCCACCTGTAGCAAGACTCAGGTATACGCCAGTCAGGTGAGTAGCTAAGTGCCGGAAGGTTCCCCAAATCTCAGAATGACTGGGGACCTTAGATTAGAAGTGTGCTCCAGGGCCAAACAGAATCATAAATCCAAATCTGGATGCACTTCAGTAAAACTGCAGGCGATCAAAGGCAAGATAAACGTTAGAAGGCTCTGGAGAGCTCCTGTCGTGGCTCACAGTTTAATTCCAGCATCTGGGGAGCCAGACGGAGAGGGCAGGCGCTACAGGCCAGACTGGAGGCAAAATGAGAGCTTGAATCATCCCAAAAATAAGACAAAGGAGCTGTAGATATACCTCAGTGGTAGGGGCTTTAGTACACACAAAGCCCAAGTTTAAAGACCAAAATTGCCATTAAAAAAAAAAAGTCAAAAAATAAAACAAAATAAAAACCATGGTAGCACATTTCTTTTAATTCTGGCACTCAGGAGGCAAAGGCACGTGGATCTCTGTAGTCTACATATGGAGTTTCAGATCAGCTAGGGCTACATAGTCAGACTGTGTCTCAAAAATAAAATCAAGGTGCAAAGATGTGGATGTTAAAAAAAAAACTGGTAAAATTATTTTTTTATTTGGAAGGAAAAGTAAGAAAAAATAAAAAATATTAGTCATAAAAATCTAAGCATAGTAAAGAATGAGAATGTAAAAATAAATTCAAACATCAAATAATATATCACAAATGTATCTACAATTGCATCATGAATATAAAAGACTAAGCCATCTTATTGTTAAAATGCTAGAAAATAAGTGTTTGGATGTAAAACAAACACTTATTACTTACTGGGCATAAAACTAACACTTATTATTAGATCCGCGTGCCTCTGCCTCCCGTGTGCTGGGGTTAAAGGCATGCACCACCACCGCCCGGCTTGGTAATACAATTTTTAAATTTGAAACATTATAATACTAAACTCAAATAAATTTCATCTTTAGAAAAATAATATAAACAGTCCATACTCATGAAGTTAAAAGAGAGGTGGGCTGCCCCCTTCCACCAGAGAGCCCTGGCCTGAACGTGCTTGACCGCGGCTACCACACGTTACTCCACAACTACCAAAGAAAAGCACCGGTTCCATGGCTTCTACTTCACCTCTGCATGCGGTAAGCCTACAAACCATCAATTTCATTAGTTCTCGAGGAATTTTAACCCTCATCGTGATTTTTAAAAGTAATTTTAAGAACATTTCTATTTTTATCTAAAAGATAAACACCAACTTTTCTTTCACAGCTGGGATCAATTTCAGACTGCGTGTGTGGCAGGCAGGTGCTCTACCATCAGGCAATATCTCCAGTATTAAATTGAGGGAGAGGTATATTCTGTTGATTGGAAAACAGAAACAAAGCCCACTGGACATCTCATTAGACTCACGTTTTCCCGTTCCACTCCACGATCTTCGTAAAGTTGAGGTAGCTGTCCTCTCCAGTCAGGAAAACATAGTCTCCGTCATTAGTGCCATTTTTCTGAAAATAAGTGAACATCACAATTTTTAAAATGAGAATAAGCAGTACAACAACAACAACAAACCTTTTAAAATACTATGACACTCAAAACACCCCGTGAAAGCCGTGCTCCCTTGAGGTGGGGCATTCTGGGGATCATGTATTTGGGCTGCTCTCCCAGAACGAAGAGCGCAGTGTGGTGAGACTTGACCTCCTTTACCCATTCTCCCACAGTAGGATTTAAAACTTGCTTATAATTCTGTTTGAACAGCCTCTAAGCTTTTTACACTTAAGGCTCACCCTCTACAAGAGCAGAAGTGAAATGCTACTGCTTTATAAACTGAGAGTGAGACCTTGGACAGTCACAAGTCAGCAGACGAGCAACCCCCTAACTTCACGCTTTATTCCCGGGTTAATTTTATCTGTCACCAACTTTTCGTTTTACTTCAGTTTCTTTCTCCACCCCCCAAACCACTGTCTTATTTTACACAGGCTTTTAAAAATATTTAGAACTCCGGTCAGTGCTGGTCTTCACCCAGAAGAAAGCCAGTCTCAAGATGCACTATGTCTTGGGCGCCATCTTCCCACTGTGAACTGAGGAGAGGTTTTTAGGAAGAAAACTTACGCCATAGAACAGGCCAAAGTTCGGGGCAATGTCAGGTTGGAAAATGTGGACGAGGGACAAGATCTCATCTTTGTAGCCCCAGAGCAACTCATGCACGGAGTGAGTCACAAACAGCTTCTGCTGGTAGGTTTTCAGCATGGCTTCGATGATCTTCTTGAGGAGGGGCAGCTGGGCCAGTTCCACAACGGTCTGCAGGGCAGAGGTGGGTTAACCAGTGTTCCCTCCGAAACACCCACCTGCCTCTCATCCTGCTCCTCAGAGGAATGGGCCAGAAACTGAGACCGAAATGTTTGAGACTAAACAGAAAATCCAACCGGGGACCTCCCTGTCAGTATAGAGTAAGAGCTTGTGTGTGTGTGTGTGTGTGTGTGTGTGTGTGTGTACTTCATGGCCTTGCACATGGAGGACAACCCCTCTTCCATTGATCTCTTTTCTAAGCCCCAGTCCCCTTTTGTAAATTTTGAGATGGCCTCACTAAATTGCCCAGGCTAACCTTGATCTGACTCTGGAACCCAGTCTGGGTTTTCCAATCCTCCAGTCTTTGCCTCAGAAAGAAGCTGTGATTACAGTGAATTTAGAATTCCCATTAGCAGGAATGAGATCGTATAAACACAGGGACCTTTGGCCACAAGGTGGCACCACGTTCCCTGGAGTTGACTGGTGGCTGAGTTTTTAAACTCTACATCTTTAGCAGCAGGACAAGGCAAGATTTAGGATCTGTGCTATTTAATGTCCTGGGTCCTCAGTGACAAGGGGAGCCTCAGAGGAGGTTGGTGCAGGGGATTAAGAAAGCTCCCTGGAGGGCTCGCCCCTGACCCCCAACCAGATTATTCAGGAAGCCCAGAGTTTGATCCCTAGTGCCACATTAAAAAAACAAATAAAGGTGGTAGGTCAGCCTGGGCTACAAAATCCAGTTTCAAGAAAAGAGGACCCTAGGACTCAGGATGGCTCACGTACCTAGATAGATAGATAGATAGATAGATAGATAGATAGATAGATAGATAGACCCTTACTTAATTTGCATAAATGCTGATCCTGAACATAAAGGAAAAATCCCAGAGACCTAATCTTTGAATGACTTTTGAAATGGCCTTGTTTTACAGACCTCAGAAAAAAGTCTATATCTATATACTTAACAAAAGTACATATTCATACAAGGCTGGCTAGGCACTGCTGCTCAAGTGTGCCTGTAATTCAAGCATTAGGCAGATAAAGAATTGCTGCAGCAAGCAGGATTTGTGTGTCCATCATTTGTGTCTAGCTTGTCTGTCTGTCTCTCTGTCTGTTTGTTTGTTTTTGGTGCCACTGGGATTAAATTCAGGAACTCACCATGCTGAGCAAGATGAGTCCACCCTGTAATATCTACATTTTATCATAAAACAGCAGCTTTTGAATTACGCAGAATCTTATCAGGCTTGCCATCTTCCTTCCACAAACCCACAATAACAATGCCTAACAAGGCCTACTTACCAACAGAGGAATATTTATTGTTCTAATCAAGTCAACGTTAGGGTCGCCAACAGATTGGTTTCGTTCAAAAACATATGCCTTATTGCTGACAGCAGATATGGTTGTTCCATTCTCTCCAAACTGGATGTTTGCCTTGTTCCTGAGTTCCCTAAACAAACAAACAAAACATTATTTGAAAATTGATACCACATTAACAAACAAGACCTTTCCCTCCACTCAGTCTTAAAGTTACATTTTATCAATATAACGTTTCCAATAAAATGACTATTTACATAGGCTGTTGATACTCAGCCCTTAAAAACTACAGATCAGAGGCAAGATGCTGAAAGCGGGGGAGGTCTCGGAATCACTTCTCAAAATCTATTGTTCTTATTTTTTTTTTCTTCACAGAATCAGAGAGATGAACTCTTTTCTGAATTACAACTTGGTCCTGAAATATTTTCAATTCAGTTCACAAGTTCAATTTGTTTCAATCTATATACTGGTGGCTTTGGTTCCAACTTGAATTTAATTGTAAATTTATATTAAAAATTGAGGCCACAGTCTGGCGGTGGTGGGGGCATACACCTTTAATCACAGCACTTGGGAGGCAGAGGCAGACAGATCTCTGTAAGTTTGAGACCAGCCTGGTCTACAAAGCAAATTCTAGGACAGCCAGAGCTGTTACACAGAGAAACCCTGTCTTAAAACAAACAAACAGACAGACAAAAACACTGAGTTAGATGTGTTTTTGGCACATGTCTGCAATCCCAGCACTCAAGAGGCTGAGGCAGGAGGATCACTGACAAGTTTAAGGCCAGCCTGATCTACACAGTAACGACACTGTCTCAAAAGTTAAAAAAAAAACAAAAACAAAACAGTGAGGCCTAAGGGACTGAGGATATAATTGCAATCGGGGGTGGGTAAGCCAGACAGACAGACAGAGAGAGACACAGAGACAGAGACAGAGATGAACTGGGGCCAACATAGTAAACTGCAGCTTATTCCCGTTTCTGCACATAATTCAGCTTAGTTCAAGTGAGTTCCTCAAAATGAGGCATTATGAAATCGCTTAGAAAGGGGCTGGTGCACAGTATAATAGGTAAGAATTGTTGACATTGGTAATTGCTTCTAAAGAGCCAGGTGTGACGGGAGTGGGCAGGGCTTTAGGGGCCTAAAGCGAAGGCGAGGAAGAACTCACCAAAGGTGTGAAATGCAAGATGTATCAAAGGGAGTCAAGATAAAATAATATTTTAATGCAATGTTTATTTTTTTTCTAAATTTAGTGGAGCGTTTTGTTTTGTTTTGTTTGAGAAGGGATTTTACTCAGTCACCCATACTGGCCTCCAACTAGGGGCAATTCTCCTGTGTCAACCTCACAAGTGCTAAGATTATAGGCACACACCATTACATCTAGCTAGAAAATCTTTAGCTCCATATGCAGTTAACAAAATGTCATCTAAGAGTGTATAATCACATACAAGTTAGAAGACCCCAGTAGTTGGGCCACGACCACTTCAGACCATGGCAGTTTTGGGGGATTTTTTTTTCAGCCATCTGCCTATCTGTGGAGTCTGCTAACTTGCTTTAGGCACTCAGTTCTAAACCTCTGAGTGAAATCATTTAGATTGTGAAGGAATTGCCACATAGCCTACGGTAAAATGGCAAGCAAGGTGATGGCATTTAAAAAACAAAACAACAGAAACGATCCTGCCATGTGGTTCTGGTTGGTCTGGAACTCACTATACAGATCAGGCTGTCCTCAAACTTGCGGTAACTCTCCTGCTTCTGCCTTCTGAGAAACTCGGATTACAGTTGGGCACTCTCAGGCCTAATACTTTCTAGATTTAAAATAAGAATAGATAAGAAAATAATAAAAGTACATATAATAAACGGGCATACACAAGAATAGAAGAATGGACAGTCTTCGAATGTTCTGTAGCACCAAGCTCTGCGCTGTACACAGTAGCATGAAGATCTGACCCTATCACGGCCCTTCACAGGGCTGCAGAGAATCCAAATGCGAACCCAAGTGCTGACGAACAAATGTCAGCGGGGTGTAACCCATGAATGCTGTAACCCAGGCCAAATTTAAATAATTACGAGAGAGAAAACAATCGCATGTCTTCTAGGAATATAACACATCAGGTGGAGATGGCTGTGCTCAAACACATCGACGCTTGACGCCCAGAAGTTTGCAGTGACTTCTGCTGTCATCTGAGTTCCAGCCCCCTTTCCTCTGGTGCCAGCCTGATTTCTCTGTCCTGGACCACTCAGGGTGCTCAGGGCCTGAGTGTAGCAGTTCCTCTGGCCTCTCCATCTGGACCACAGTGCTCCAACACACACCATGGAGGCCCAGCATCCTCCTGGTGGGGCTGATAAAGCACACACTCCTATGACTTAGATATTAGCTTATTTTGGGGGGGGTTGTTTGGTTTTGTTATTTGAGGCAAAGGTTCCCTACCTGGGCCAGACTGTTCTTGCAGCAGCAATCTTGCCTCAGCCTTCTAAGTACTGGGGTTCTAGGGGTGTCCCACCAGGCCTGGCTTGTAGCATGGGTCTTTCAACCTGCCCTGTCTCATAAGCTGTTCCTTTCCTCTGTTAGCCTACTTTACAGCCTTCGAGCAGGTTCTCCTGACTCCCACAGAACAAGCCCAACCTTGCTGGAGATCAAGCATTCCTCCTCTGGAGATCACATCCTAGTCATTGTGGCTGAACAAACAATTTGAGGACCAAGCAGGTTTAAAGTCTTGGTCATCTGACCTCATATCCCTAGAAGTTAATTCAAAGTGACTGTCAGAAGATAGAGAAAGGGAGGAAATTTCCAAGTCGAACACTTGTTCAGCCAAAGCTGCTTCCTACACAGAAGGCTCCATGGAAACCCCTCCTGATTGTCCCCACGTTAAGGCCAAGCACAGACCACAGGGGACTTGGTGATGGTAGTTATGGAGCACCCACACTGACCCACATCCCACTGAGGAAGCAGAACAGTGACTGGGTAATCAACAATTTTAAAGCAAAGAAGGCAGGTCCAGGGGGCTGCAACCGTCACTCAGATTGACCTAAAAGTCTAGGGGCCAAGGTGGTCATTTCCTAATGTCAAAATCAGGGTCTTTGCTAAGCAAATTTTGTTTGTTTGTTTTCTTCTCTCAAGAGTTAGTTTATGAACCTAAAGGCCTGAATAACCTCAAGGCTAAGGCCTGCTTCACATGTGTTTATGTATGTAATATGGACTGAAGAGATAGCATGTTGTCTTTATTGTTTTCCCTGTGGAAATCTGATGGCTAAGGGGCAACTGAGGACAAAGATGCCAATCAATTCAGGCCTGCAACCTGACTTGGTTTCTTAATAAAGTTCAGCAGGTCAAAGCCAAGGTTTTCCAATATCATTCTTGTGGACACCGACCCGGTCAGCCAACTCACTGCAACCTCATGACTTCCTTAGCTATGTGGAGTCCTCCACCCACCACCCTATGGCATCACTGACTCGTGGTCTTCACAGAATGCTGGACATAAAGAAAAGACAGTAAGACATCGGGAGAGAGGGCGAGAAGGAGGGGGCGGGAAGCCTTTCTCTTAAAACAGCATGTAATTGGCCAAAGACAGCAAAATTTTTGGTCTGGCCATGCTCACACAGACAGTTAGAAGGGCTTTTGACAATATCAACAAACCTGCTTGATAGGGGAGTTCAGCCAATCACACTCTGTTCCTGGGGCGTGTCGCCCTTAGGCTAAAGCTTGCCTATAAACCTGGCAAGTGCGCTTCTGCTAGCTCTCTCTTGCCTGGCTCCTGCGTCCAGATGGATCGTTTGGATTCTGGTGTAAGCTGGTATAAGTCTTACTTCTGTTTATTAAAGCTGTATATTTTGTATTAAGATAGTCTGGGGACTTTTCATTACCGATCGCCCTGTGGCATCACCTGCTTAGCAACACACTGTGTATCTGCACACATAAATGCATGCCAGCCACCAGCAGAGCAACGAGTCAACGTGAAGCAGTGACGTTGCTGGTAAACTGCAGGCGACAGCAAGAAGGGGTCAGATTACTGTCAATCACATTAGAGAAGACCTAAGAACTATCTAGAAACACAACATCTTAAAACAGAAACAAAAGCAGTCTTGGGCCTAGACAGTGAATCAAGAAATTGTATTTCAAATTGCCAGGTACCAGTGCCCTGTTCTTCGGTAGATGATGATAATCTTACACTATCGTTTAATATTAATCACCATGGTGGATCTAGTCGTGGAAAAAAAAAAGAAAGAGAGGGAGAGGGAGAGAGAGAAAGACAGAGAGAGAGAGAGAGAGAGAGAGAGAGAGAGAGAGGGAAAGAGAGAGAGAGCTAGGACTGGGAGCCACATCTGTAGTCCCTGCTCTGGGGAGGCTGAGGCAGGAAGATTTCAAGTTTGAAGACAACCTGGGCTATATGGTGAGACCTGTCTCAGAAAGAAAGGAAGGGGAGGGAGGAGGGGGAGGAGAAAGAGAGTGGATGAAAAACCTGGTTTTCCATGTAATCTCAGCACTGGGGAGGCTGAGGCAGGAGGATTACTTGAACCTAAGAATCCAGAAGTTTCAGAATAGCTTGGGCTCTGTTAAAAACAGAGCCAAACCAAAATCAAAGCTCTGTTAAAAACAACATCAAAAACCAAAGAAAGGAGGAGGAAAGAAAAGAAGGAAGCCTGGCACCACTGAGGTCTCTGGGTGGAGAGACTGAACCAGGATTGTCATAAATTCAAGGTTAGCCTAGAATACACAGTAAATTCTGGGTCAGCCCGGGCTGTCTCTAAAGCGAACAAAAGAAGGAAAAGTTTGATCTATACTCCGTAAACTATTGTATCACAGTAAACAGGGGCTGCATCACCCTCCCCTCCCCCACTGTGCCCTCCAGGCCTCCTGGCACTTGTGGGCAAGAGTCAGTCGACCGGGCTGGGAGGAGCTGCTCATGCCTTTAATCCCAGCTCTCAGGAGACAGAAGCAGCCAGATCTCTGTGAGTTAGAGGCCTGCCGGATCTACAGAGTGAGCTCCAGGATAGCCAGTCTTACACAGTAAGACCCTATCTTGAAAAAAAAACAAAAAACAAAAAACAAAAAGTCGGCAGACCTGTAAGAAGGGAACTCACTGCAGCAGTCTGTCAGCCCAGTCACAAGTGGCATCAGATCTACTTGAAGACCGC